GCTTAACCAACTGAGGCACCCAGGTGCCCCCCTGGTTTTGGTTTTAACAAACCCTTGAGGGATTCTGATGCAGGCTTAAGTCTGAGAACTACCCACTCGCCTAGGGGAAAACCAGGAGAGACTGAGAACAGATTGTGAATGAAATGCGTGGGTGTTGATATTTAATTCTTCAGCATATAATTCTGAATCAGAGGCATTCCCAGTACATGGGCCGCAGATAGCAAAGCAGGCTGTAGAGTTACTGCAAGGAGGCCACAAGTTCATGTGTCTGAGACTGAATAAGCAATATATCTTATACTATGTATGTACTGAGATTTTTCCGAAATGCCACTGTAATTAATAAGTGCAGATTTATTCTGGGCCTCAGTTTCATTATCTGTAAAATGGAGGGGTTAGACTAGAATCTAGTCATTAGATGATTTCTGGAAATGTTTCCAACTCTAAGAAAAGTTACACAAAATAGCCAGGAAATTTTCTATCAGACACATGATTGCAGTGCACTTAAATCGTGTCCATATCGTTCAATAGGCTAAAAATAATAGTAACAGTTCCTACATGTTTATAGACATTTCTGGCTCATTAAACACCTACTCTGTTGACTTGATCCTGTTCACCCCCATTTTACAGAGGAGCACCTGAGTCTCAGAAAGGTTAAGGAAGTTGCCCGATAGCTTAGGATTATTAAGGGGTACAGTAAGCACCTGACTTCAAGCCCCAAGACTGACATTGCCTCTTTACCACTCTGCCTGTAGAGTGACAGAATGTAGGGATATTCTAGGTGTTAGAAGAGTAGAATCTGGTGCTTACACTTTGACAGGGCCCACTTTCACTGAAGCAGCCATATCTCCAGCCCGTCAAGGAGATGAGGGTAGCTGCAATGAGGACCTGGGAGAGGAGAGAAGAAAGGTAAAAAGAGATTGGGTAATTGACATTTCCAGCTGCCACCTGTGGCTGTTGAAATAGATTGGCTGGGCACCTCACATGGACTTGATTATCCCATCTTTCCCAGAGGGTTTGGCTTTGACTATCAGGACCCAGTTGGGTGACTAGCCTGATCTGCCTCTCTGGCCGGCAACGTTTACCCCTGGCCTGCTAGTCCCGAGCCAAAGTTCAGCCACAAGACTTGACAAGTCTTCCTAGAGTCTCCTATTCCTCGGAACTGATATACAACTGAGACCAGCTTGCTAGGTCAAGCATTCTTTTTTTTTTTCTTTAAGATTTTATTTTTGAGTAAATCACCCCACATGGGTCTCGAACTCACCCTGAGATCAAGATGGCACATGCTCTACCCGTTGAGACAGCCAGGCGCCCCCAAGATCAAGCATTCTTGCAAGGAACCAAAACATGACTCCCCTACCACCTCCCTGTTCCACCCCGAGGCGTGTCTGGCAAAGTCACACCTGGGGAACTCAGAACACTTACCATGAGGCCTCCTCCCCAGAGCCCAGAGCCCAGCATGGCTTGCTTGCCAATGAGGCCTCTCAACAGGTAGCTCACATCCCAGTTAGGAAAGAGGAGCACTGTGTTGGCTCCAGCAGCAAACAGGGCAGTGGTCCCGAGGCTCAGCCCCAGGATGCGGGAGCAGGTCCGTGAGCATGCCATCACACCAGGAGAGGACAGCATCCTGGAACCAATGGACGGAGGGTCATGGTGGCTCTGCTGCTGGGAGCATCAGGAAGGAGAACACTCATAGCAAGGGTGGGGTGGGGGAGACAGACTACAGATACTATGACCTCCCGGGGTACAGATCAAGAAGAGCCAAGGAACCTGCTTTGAAACGCTGCCTTTTATAAATATGCCCCAATGGGTAGGATTTAATTGCTCCATTTTCTGCCAACCCCCACTCACATGCACACACTCCTCATCCCCTCATGTTTTGCTGTACCTCTGTTACAGCTAGTGATTATTTCTATTTGATACAGAAAAAAATGTTTAAAGGTGTCACCCTCTCTCTTTAAAAAATGCCATTTTAGGGGCGCCTGGGTGGCGCAGTCGGTTAAGCGTCCGACTTCAGCCAGGTCACGATCTCGCGGTCCGGGAGTTCGAGCCCCGCGTCAGGCTCTGGGCTGATGGCTCAGAGCCTGGAGCCTGTTTCTGGGCTGATGGCTCAGAGCCTGGAGCCTGTTTCCGATTCTGTGTCTCCCTCTCTCTCTGCCCCTCCCCCGTTCATGCTCTGTCTCTCTCTGTCACAAAAATAAATAAACGTTGAAAAAAAAAATTAAAAAAAAAAATGCCATTTTAAAGATGTCTACTCTTACCACTTCCATTCGTTATTGTGCAGGAAGTGCTATCCAGTGCAATAAGAAAATAAAAAGCAAAAGCCATACGGATAGGAAAGAAAGAAGTAAGGTAACATGATTATCTATATAGAAAATCCAAAAATATCGGGGAGCCTGGGTGGCTCAGTCAGTTGGGTGCCCCACTTCGGCTCGGGTCATGATCTCATCGTCCGTGGGTTTGAGCCCTGCATCTCCACATCAGGCTCTGTGCTGACAGCTCGGAGCCTGGAGTCTGCTTCGGATTCTGTGTCTCCTCTCTCTCTCTCTCTGCCCCTCCCCCGTTCAAGCTCTGTCTCTGTCTCTCTCAAAAATAAATAAATATTTTAAAAAATTAAAAAAAAAAAAAAAAGAAAATCCAAAAGAATCTATCAAAAAGTTACTAGAACTACTAAGTGAGTTTAGCAAGTCACAGGATAAGAACTTAATACACAGGGGTGCCTGGGTGGCTCAGTCTGTTAAGCATCTGACTTTGGCTCAGGTCATGATCTCATGGTTTGTGAGTTCAAGCCCCCATCAGGCTCTCTGCTATCAGCAAAGAGCCTGCTATGGAACCTCTGTCCCACTGTCTTCTGCCCCTCTCCCACTTGCACGGGCTGTCTCAAAAATAAACATTAAAAAATTTTTTTTAACTGAAAAAATTAATATACAAAGATTTTGTTGTATTTCTATACACAAGCAATGACAAATTGAAAAAATTAAACAATATCATTTAAATAGCATAAAATAGGGGCACCTGGGGGCTCAGTCAGTTAAGCATCCAACCCGTGATTTTGGCTCAAGTCATGATCTCACGGTTTGTGAGTTCAAGCTCCACATCAGGCTCCATGCTGATAGTGCAGAGCCTGCTTGGGATTCTCTCTCTCCCTCTCTCTCTCTGCCCTTCCCTCCCTCACTCTCTCTGTCTCCTGTCTCTCTCTCAAAAATAAATAAATAACTTTAAAAGATTAAAAATAAATAATGGCATAAAATAGAAAATACTTATGGATAAATTCAACAAAATATGTGGAAGACCTGTGCACTAAAAAGAACAAAAGATTCCTGAGAAAAATGAAAGACCTAAATAAATGGAGAGATATACAACATCCATGGGTCAAAAGACTTACTCTCATTAACTGTCAATTATCTCTAAATTGATGTTTAGTAGAGGCATTTGGGTGGCTCAATCTGTTAAGCATTCGACTTCAGCTCATAATCTCGCAGTTCTTGGGGCTCTGTGCTGACAGCTCAGAGCCCGGAGCCTGCCTTGGATT